CCTCCCCCCGAAACGCCCCTCGTACATAGGACTTTAACATTGTGTACGCATGCCTTGGCTGACCCCCCTTCCCCCATCCAGTGCGTACGTACTTATTGAATGATCCCTATACAAAAACTATCTAATTTGCAAACTTAAATTTAAAGTTTGAACTTAAGAGGACAAATGTCCTGTAATGTGCAGGGTAATTTTTTGTTGCATATATTTGTTTAAACTAATATATCAATTTGAAAAGAATCTTATAACAATGATATAAATGAACAGAATTTGCGTTTTTGTAATAAATTAATTGTTTTCATTTCTATTTTTGACAATTTTAATTAATAATTTATAATTAATTATGAAATTGTTTTTCCATAGTGTAAAATAAACTTGCAATATTATAACTTATAATTTATAAGTAATTTATGAATATGTTCAGAACAAATGTCCAAAACAAACGGTAATATCTAAACATTTGTAGCTTAACTTGGAAATTATATTTAAACACTTATTTTAACTAAATTATATATTTAAGAATATCTCTTTTAAAATGTCTTATTCAATGTATATAACTGAACTTACTCTGTTCAACTATCGTTTAAATGATTATGTGAGTTTGTAAACTAACATGCCAGGTTTATTTACTGACAATTTATATTAAATGTGCAATAAATGCATAAATTTTTAATAAATAATTTTGAATTACTAATTCTGGGTATTAGCTGCTCAGGATTATTTTGAGTCGTTTATATTCAGTCTTTGGTCCTGGGCAAAGCTATGTTAAATCGTTAACTATATTCATTTTAACTCAACTTTTTATTTTAAATATGATAAGTTTTTTATTTTAAATACTTTACAGTTAAACTTAATATATTTAATAAACACCAACTTAATTCTTATAAAATAAAAATGCTTTTATTTATCAGTTTTAATAATTATTAAAACAATTAGCTGATAATCATTAACAAGTTATAAAGTTATTGATTACTTATTGTGGTGAGCACTGTCCCCAACCGGTACCTTTAGTATTACCAGTTTCCCGGCATACGAGTCCCAATTCGGTACAACACTGACTGGGACTGTTAGCTCCGGGCATACACATCCCCCACACTGGCTGACAATTGCGTTGACAAACCCCGGTGTAGGCCACAAACCGGCCGTTACTGTCATTTTCAATAGCCGTGGCGTCACATCTCAGTCCGTGTCCCTCAGCCGCACAGCACTGTCTCTTAGCTGAACCACCGCACGGGCCGTTCAATGCAGAGCACGACTGCTGAGCCCATCCTATTTGGTTTGGTATCATATATTAATCAAACATTTACTATATTTTATCAATATATTTCTTACCACAACCAATAAATCCCAACACTAGCCATAAGAGAATTATTTGATTCATTTCATATAAGTTTTGCTTTACTTTTTCCAATGAGAAACTTTTATTTTAATAATAACCATATAATTATTTCTACTTCTTATATACTTCTTATTTGCACTTAAGATCCAGGGCAAATGCCCGAAGAATGTACCAGAACATATTTAAATTCTCATATCATATTTAAAATCATTTATCAATAAAAATAATATTGTAACATTTATATAGAAAAACAGAATTTCTCGTTTTTGATACCTATATATTAATCCGATGCAAAGGTTTTATTTGAATTTCATAATAATTCATAATAAACCTGAAGTAATATGAGTGATTAATTAATTAATTAATTATTATACGTTTAGAACAGAGGTTCAGGGCAATAAAAAAGAAAATATTACAAAAAAATCTTTATTTTATAAAAAGTTTATAAGTAATTTGTATAGTTATGTAAAATTGTGAATTTAAATTTAGATTTTTAAAGCAAACACCCCTGTTTTGTAAATTAATACATTTATTTGATTATTGTTTTATTTGACTGTTAAAACTTTTATAACATAAACATATGTTAAGAGATTTATGTCTGTTTTTGAGGACATCGTTGTGTTTTCAATCCAATGAGAGATACATTGAACGAAAAAAGTGTTGTGTTTTTTGTTTCATATATTTCTCGTCGAAATCCTCAAACAAAAAGCCGTTTCCCTTATGTCTACACAAATAGGTTTTTATAGAATATTAAAGACTAATATATTAATGGAAAGGCACTCATAAAAGGCTCGCATTTGATGTGGAAATGTGTGTTCATTGCATTCAATTGTGCGGAAACTGATTTAGTTTTTATTAATAAGATTTGTGCCAACATTTCCTTCCATTAACTTCTTATAAAACCTAAACTCCTGTCTCTCATCTGAATCTCTATTGGCTTTGATTTGTCAGTTTCGACACTAAATAACTCCGAACTTATTGTACGGCTGAGGAACAGTATGTCCTGTCATTTAGTGTTAGTATTTCTCAATTAATGAAACGACTAATGCCTCCGAAAATAACTGTTACTATAGTATACAATCAGTTACACATCGTTTTGCTATACATTAGCGTTATATTTAGTACTGAAATCCTTTTGAAAAAGATTTAAATGAGTTAGGATTTAAATGATTAAAATAATTTGATAGTTTGTATTTTATATTATGAATTTTGGATATATTTTTAAAGTTTAAAACATTCATTAAAAAATAATATAGATGTTTAAAAATAATTTTAGCGGACATTTAATACAATTATGTTCCCTAAGGGACACAACTGCCGAGACTACTACCAGAGTTGTCGTATAGACACCGGAGTCCAGTACAGCACTGGGCGTTTGCGAACCCCCCGCACGAACCCCTCAGTTGACTGCATTTGAGAGCACGGTTTCTCCTAAACTTAATGCATATTCCCGAGGCATCCGCTATCATACCGTTGTTGTCATTCAGAATACACGCCAATCCCTGGCCATCGCAACATTGAATGCCTGCAATCCCACCACACATTTGGGTCCTATTCGCACAACTGTCCACTGTTACTGATTTGTCGTTCAAAATGATAATAAACTTTAATTTTCTTAACATTAATAATATTTAAAAATGAATGTATTGTCTTATACCCAATATTGCCAATTGAAACACAAATAATATTATTGTTGTTTTCATCATTTTGTAGGTAATTGTTTGAAATAGTCTACATTATGGGGAAATTTAACAATTTTGAAATCTTTTATAATGTGTTAGAAATTCAAAAAATACTATGTTTACGATACACAAACATATGTATTAAATAATTATTCATCCCGATAAATTATATTCTCTTTCTATAAACAAAACTAGAACATTGAAAACATATATCATTATTGTTGACCACATACTATATTTTAATAAATTAAAATGTTTTGATATTTGATATTTGATTTATAGATCAAGAAAACTAAATATGTTGTATTGGTTCTGTATTCAGTAGGGTGGATATAATACATGATAATTTTTTCGACATGTATTATACATGTATTATTCCATGTATATCGTGTATTATTCATGTATTTTTAAAAATATGCATAAATAATAGTAATTAATTAATATCATACTTATTAAATTGTTACTCTAATTTTATCACTAAATTGAATATAAAACTAATCAAGAATAAACTTCTAAAATATTTAGCAAGTTTAATTTTCAATCCAGCTCAGTTTTTGATATTTTTGTTGTACAAATTGCATGAAATATTGTCAACCATTTTGGGAAAATTTCCATAAACACATGATTTTTGAGTAACTTTTACTCATTTTTAATCAAATAAAATTAATTTAAATAATAATTTGGATTTTCAAACAATATTTACAAGACTTATATTTGAATAATATTGAAAATAATCAGAAAATTGACAGTTTTCTCAATAGGGGCGGGACTTCATGTATGTATGGTAAAAGGGCTCATGTATTCTACATGTATAATACATAGAATAATACACTTGTATTATACATCCAATGTATGGGAATCCACCCTAGTATTCAGGATCAAAATGGTAAAAATAATAGTCAGACTGGAGTCAAAAGGATTAAAAATTGCTTCTTTATTGTTATAAAATCTTTAAGATTTAAGATTATATTTACTTAAGTATCATAATCCATAATAATTACAGAATTTAATAAAATTTAACAAAAATAAAATTCCTCAATTCACAATTAATTCAATAGTTAATAATAAATAGAAATAAAATTATCTTAAACCTTTGAAACAATAGAAAAATGTCCACGAATATAAAAGTTTATGTAGGAACGTAGTGGACGTTTCGTAAAGTTATTTAACTGTCCCTCATACAATGTCCATAATGAATTTGGAGTGAAGTCCAGTACAGCACGGGGGTGTAGTTGCTTTGCCCCCACATGTGTCATTCAATTTAGTACATTGCATGGCACGAGTGAATCTTCTCAATTGGACACACTTTCCTTGTAAACTCAAATCTATATCACAAACTGTATCCATAACACCATCTTTGCCTAAGTATTAAGTTTGCATGTTTTGGTTCTCACCAGGGCACTGATTCTCCACCAAAACTAATTTTTGGTTAATAAATATAATTTTTAATTTCTTTAAACATTAATACTGTTCTAATACTTAAGCATCAATTTATTTTATACCCAGAATTTCCCATTTAAAAGCAAATAGTATTATAATTAGTGGTTTCATCATTTTGTTAGCAATTGTTTTAAATAATTATTTTTATGGATCAGTTCATCAGTTTATAAATCATTTGAAAAGTGTTACAAATTTACAAATTATTTGTTTATTATTAAAACAATTGACAAACTTTATAAAGTAATTTTTCATCTCGATTAAATAGGTTGTTCATTTATTTAATGTCTTTAACTAACAAAATAATTAGGTTTCTATCAGGCAATTAGGCAAAGTAATTATTTCACAGAATATTTATGACTATCTCATAATCATATAAATGTGCTTGACCAAATGAAGTGTTTTGGTTAACACATTGGGAGCAAATCTATTATGCCAGGTAAAATCATCATTAATTTGGTTATAATTTTAAAATAAGTAAAATATATAATAAGAATGTATCTCATTTATTTATTCATAATTAGAATTACAAATATTGTAAATGTTAGACATATTTTGAAAGTTTAAATCATTCATTAGAAAGTGGGCATGATGTTTCTGAATGGAAATCTAATCTGGTTAATTCTGATTCCATTGACACAGTGTCCGGCATCACTACCTGTCATGTACTGACACCTGAATCCAGTACAGCACTGGGCGTTTGCAAAACCACCGCAAATGCCATTCAATTTAATACACGCCAAACCACTTGTAGTTTTGCCCGAACCTCCTTTCTTAATACAAGTTCCCTGAGCATCGCTGATCTGGCCGTTTTGGTCATCCAGTTTGCACGTCAACCCCTGTCCATCACAACATGCGGTGCCTATAAACCCACCGCACGTTTGGGTCTCATTAGCGCACTGTCTCTGACCCGCAACTGAATTGTGATTAAAAATTATATTTAATTTTAAAGTAATCATAATATGAAACAAAGTAATCAAATTATACCTAGAATTGCCAATTCAAACACAAAGAATATTATTATTGTTTTAATCATTTTGTTTGCAATTATTTGCGATAATCTTATTTGCGATTCAATTCAGCAATCTTTGAATCCTTTATATAGGATTATAAATTCAAGGGTATCCAGGTTAAATCTGTAGATAACAGATGTATTATATAATTACTCATTATGATTAAGTATGTTGGTCAGTTGTTAAATCACATATTACACAATTATAAATTCAAATATAGTTTTTATAATTCGCTTTAATACTGATGTTTTATATTTAAATAATTTTAATTTTTGATATTTAAAATGATAATGTAAATATTTTGTAATTTTTAATATATTTTGTGTTAATATTTAATTGCAAAATTAACCTTACTTTTGAATTGATTTATTTTGAGGAAAAGTAGTTTTATAATTTATTAATGACTTATTGTGTTTATGATTACAAACCATATGTGAATACAACTAACTTAATACTTAATACTTAATACACATAATAACAGTTGTGTTCATATATTGCTTAAATATCGATAGAAATTACAACAATATTGGTACTATTATATCGGATGTAGCTAATAGGATCTTGGAACTTATAATAATTTATTACCTGTTACGATTTGTAAATGCTTTGCAGAATTGTTTTTAATCAAAAAAATCTACTTGTATTCTTTATTAATATTTTAGGCAAGTTTCTTGAATATTAAATTTTATTTTTTATGTCAGTTTTTGTAATACTGTTATTACATACAAACAAATTAAAATTAGTAATAATTAAGAAATTTAGTGAATTTGTTATATCAGTCACTCTGCAGACACTGTCCAAAGTTAGTGCCCGACTGTATCTTACAGTAGAGTCCGAGTGCTGTACAACAACCGGCGCCAGTGTTTGGTATACACGTGTCGTACAGTGTCTGACAGGCGTACTGACACGTGCCCGTGTAGTCCGAGTAGGACTCGTCGGGAATGGTAGTCGGCTGTGAATTTGCGTCACATGTGAGAGGCTCTCCATTCTGTGTGGAGCAGCACTCTATGTGTTGCAGACCACCGCACATGGCGTTCAAGCCCGGACACTGTTTGCTATTATCTGCCAATTATTACAATTAGTTAATTAATAATATTATATTTTTAAAATTATTATATTTTAATATTTCTATTTACCAAACATAGAAATTGTGTACAATAAGCAAATTATAATAAATTTATTCATTTTAAAATAGATTTGATCCTTGTTTTATAAGTATAATAATAATACTAAATTAAAAATATATTTTACTTGTTATAGAACTTAAATGATCAAGAATCTTGTGAGAAAGGAACACTTTCTATAAAAATAGCTAGTTCATCAATTAAAATGCTAACTCATTTAAATTTTTATTTGTTTTAAAGCAAAATATTTTGGCAAATATTGCATTTATTCAATGTATCGATATTTAAATAATTAAATAAGTTTGACAATTGCAAATATTACTAACAATGTTTATTTGAGTAATTATAATAATATTCTTTCATGAATATTTGATATTTTAAATTAATTTTAATATTACAGTATTTAAATTTTACAACATTAAATAGAAATTGTTCAATTATTTTCGCAATTTATTTTAAATCAAAATAAAATATTTAATTAACTGTGTAGTCATATAAAAATTAAATGACAAGCTATTAATTGTTTTGCGTAATATAAAAAATTTAAATCCTATGTTATACCCATAAACTCTAACCAATTCATAGTCCAATACAACATTTGTAATCTTATTTTAATGAATTAAGTCTTTTATACAAAATTATATTGAAATGATACCAACATTACTTTTATAATACTGTATTAACATTATTTCATTAATATTAACAAAATTAAATTATTATCTAATACTGTATAATGAAAAACAAATTTCTGAATACATTTATGATTATTTAGTCCTTTATATTAACATCATTACATAATACTTTACTTTATATCA